GTGGAAGCATATGCAACTTGCTTCCCAGGCGATCCTCCGACCAAACGAAAGAAATTCGACACCTGACCCAGCCACACCTCCGGGTCTTCAGATGTCCTGCCCGAAAAGGTTGGAGGGTCCTTTGGTTTTATTTGGACGTCAAAAATTCCAGCCCCCTTGCGAGTGCGTCTCCCCGATGACTCGCTCGATGATGTCGTGTCAGAACTGGGCGAACGTGCATGCCGCGACCTGTGTGATCTGGACCTCTGTCGTCCTGGACGGGCAGCATGGCTGGTCTGTGCAGGTGGCATCGTCTGATCGCCAACATCGGCAACAATCTCCACCTCCTGCTGCAAATGCGGAGGTCTGCTGTATGTAACTGCTGCTGGTGGCTCTGGGGGTCCAGGCACAGTCTGCTGACGGGGCTGAGAATCCTTTTGCGACCGCTCTATAGCCAGGTCCGCGGACAACTGATCGATCCTGGATAGAGCGTCCTGGAGCTGCCTAGTAAGCCGCTCCACAGTCGCATCCTGTTCCCTCCTCAGCCTACGTTCTGTCTCTGCATTTCTCTGCCTCTCATGTCCCAATGCATTCTCCAGCTCAGCAAGTCTGTCAGCATTGCTGGAAACATTTCTATGCATTGTGGACATAGCAGTCTCAGTCCGCCCAAATGCCTCCCTGGTCTGACCCTCCAAATGCGAAACTGCCCTCTGAGATGTCTGGGCAGTATGCTGCACTGCTGATGCCGTCTGATCAGCCAGCACATTCATGGCATGTGCTGTCTGGGCGGCAGTCCCTGCTATCGCCTGTGCAGCTCGCTGCTCGAGATTCTGCATCCCCTGTGCAGCTTCGGTCCTGGAGACCAGGGCACCCTCTGGGTTTCCCAAAACCACTGCCCCCGGCTCGGTCCCGGCAATCAAAATCCTCTGTTGCCGCGCCTCATATGACGCAGCAATAACTCCTACACGTCCAGCTCCGGCGACTGTCTCCACTGTCCCGTCAATCTCCTCCACACCATCATGGCCCTGCAGCTCCATCATATCACGATCTGCCATGATCCCACCCACGACACTGATCCGATGATCAACTGTACTGAAACGAAGTCAATCGGAGTAGACCTGATCTCGGGCTACTGAAAGTCCACTGAATCCTATCCCCAAGTAGCCAAGCAGCCTTTACCTCCCAACTTAAGTTATCCTGCTTCTACTGGTTTTCAGTAATCACTTTCACACACAGTTACCCCCAGTACTCTGCAGGGTGACCTCTCGGTCCACCTGGTAACTTTCCAGAGGGTGCGTCTATGGCTACTAATGAAAACTTAGTCCCAGCTTCAGCCGAACAACCTAAGAAGGTGTCCCTTGCCTGGGACGAGACCATTGTAAGAGGTCTGGGTTGGCCTATGGCACCCCCAGCCTGTCTAATATTTTAAGACTCAGCCACCCAAGGTTCCGAAGGGGTGACTGGCCTGTCTACCTCAGGTGGGCAATGGCCTCACCCTCTGACCGGTTCCAGGGGAGATGCCTCCACTAGGAGGTAGCACTCTGGACCCAACTGGGCCTGCCTACTGCCGTGCTCAATCTCCTCCCCCTTCCCCTAATCAGGCCCCCAATCTTGTGGCAGAGCGGTCTGGTGGTGACCCGCCTGCAGTACCTGCAAAATAAGGTGAAGCAGCAGATGTCCCCTACTTCTAGAGCGGGACCTTCACCCCTATTCTACAGCGGGTGGCACCTGAGGTTGACGAAATCTTCCAACTGAGGGGCGCTGGCCTTCGCGTGTTCGGCTACACGATGGGCGCCTGGCGCATGCACTGAATCCGCAGCTGAATCCGCAGATCTGGCGATCGCCCAGCGCCGTCGATCCCCGAACACCAATCGCCCAACTGAAAGCTCCTTAGGCTCGCAAAACAACCTCCCGCAGGCACACAGCAAGGCGATTCAGCACCCGCGGAGGTGCTGACCGCTGCCTGGGGTGTTGGAGGCTTCTGGAATCCGCAGCCCTCACAGGCCGCGTGGTCACTCTGTGGTGCTGCGCCTCTCGCTCAGCTCCCGGCTCCGGGCTTCGCGCTCCGAAACCAATTTGTTGCGGCCCCGTCGGCGGCCGCTGGTTTCCGGAGGCGTGGGGGTCGCCCTGCCCTGCGGCTCGGCTGTTGGAGGTCAGCCGGCCCTCTCCACCTCGTACGGTGGGCGTATCCGGGGCAGTCGCTCCTTGGTCGCGCGGTGGGCCCAATGCTCGACGGGGATCGATCCCCGGGGCCTGCTGTCGGCGAGAGGTGGCGGCGCAGCGAGGCGGTGGTTCGCTGGCTCGCGGGAGACCAGAGAGTGGGCCAAAGGTGTTACAACGATTCACTGCATGCGCGCGCACATATCGCATGCGCGATGCCCGATCGCGGGTCCATCGCGGTCACATCATGACAAGACAAGACAAGTGCGCGTCCAGGCACATCGTCACCATCCACCGTTCACCTACGATCGACCTATTGTCCTCTAATTCCAAGCGTCTAACACCCGACCCCCTGGCCCTAAGTACTACGACTTCAGGAGGCCATATCTTCGTCAATTCTTAACGGATTTGGGCGTTTAAAAGCGCGTTGGAACCAGGAAGAACAGCCTTTCGTGCAAAATGTCGGTAAGGTCCGAAAGGCTGCACTTGTACGCAACATCGCGATTATGTGTTTTTTTAGGCAAAGCGGTTGTGCTCAAGACTGGCCGTCAGAGAACAAGGAAATTTGTGCGCAACATCGCTATTTCTGAGTGCACAAAAAGAGAAGAGGATGCATATTCTGTTGTTTTCCGTGACCCCCTTACCGACATTTTGCACGAAAGTTAGTTGAAGCTCTAAACTACACTCCCAAAAGGTCGATTTAGCCAATTACGTAATCCTACTCCAGAAAACCTCAATAACTGCCTTACCCCAAGTAGCCACGTCACACCAAGACTTTTCTGAAGAGTTGAAGCTTCTTCAGCAGCAAAGGCTTGCACAACCTGGTGTGCGAGCTATAGTGTGGTCGACGGACAGAAGCATCAATTTTGATAGGCCTTGGAAGAGGGCAAATGACAGGCAAGCTGCCCTCATTGAGGAATGGGATGAGGCGCACTATAACGGGATGGAGTTTTATATCACTTGACAACGGGTGCAGCTGGGTTCTTCACCCAAAACGCTGAGATGGATGGCCTTCCCCCATTTATTAGGTGAGAAATTTTGTATGGACTTGAAGCGATGGTGTATAGAGGAATTAAGCCGGTTTGGCGAGTGGCCTCGAGGGAGGTGCCGTAGACAAATCTCAGAAATGAAGAGAACAAACCCGTTCACTAGAGAGTATACGAGATCGCTAACGACCGGTTGAAGGTCACTGAAAATCGAGTTTTGATGGAGCTTTCTCATCATCGGACCACACAGACGATTGAAAATGCTTGTGAGAATGATGAAAAAGTCCAAGCTCTGAAAGGTGAAAAACTCAGCTATAATCCGTGCATTATGGACTGACCCCTATGATTGCCATGTAGCGCCCAAGCGCTCAACGATTACCATGAGCAACAGAGGGAGATCGACCAGTTGCTTGTTAAGAATGTGGTGAAGGTCAAAATAATGAATTGGTTGGCCAAGAAAGGACCAAAACCGTCGATCAAACGTACCATGTGTTGAACGCCGTCCATGAAGATGGCTGGGCATGAGCAGCATGGTGTGGCGAGTGTACAATGTTATGCCGATCGAAATAAGCCAAGCTGACGTAGATAGGGGCCATGTGGACCACAGAAAGAGCTGGCATAAGTGGCACACGTACAAGTTCATAGATACTATGCCAGATTTCATCGGATTTGATTAGATATGCTAGATTTTGATGATAGTGACTAGTTGAACAGCCGTAGGATGCATGGCTAGGACAATTCGGCTGTCACTATCAATGCATGATATGACTTTTAGTTCTTGAAAGACATAGCAAGAGGCATTCTCAGAGGGATAGTAGGGAATCTTCTGAAGCAGGCTCTGTGAAGCGTGAGGCTGAGAGCAAACAATACGAAGGTACATAAACTGGCTGGTCAGTGATATTGTTGACCTCCAGTCTGTAATCTACTTTTGGTTACAGCTGTCGCAGTCGACCATGCCTTCTCAACGACTGAGGAGAGGACTTGTGAGGCCAAGTGAGCATCCCCTTTGAGGGAGGGACTTAGGCCCTGTGTGCGACTGACATGAGACGATCGGCCTGTGCGTCTTTGACCATTTCATCGCTCGAAATCGCCCCCATTCGACTGGATTCAAGTCGATTTTTCATTACTGCTCTCCGGAGAGGTCTGGCCATCGCGTGGCCATGATCTTTGTAGATAGGAATAACTCGTAGAGTCTGTGCCGCATGGTGCGATGTCAGAATGATTTTGACAGTTGATAGTGTAACGAAGGCATTTAGTATTGCTGTCAAACTGTTGGTGCATCATTGGGTCAGCGTGGTTGTCACAATTCGGAGGGATTTGTGGGTAGCGGCGCCGCACACTCGGCGGTGAGGCACAGCACCAGGACAAGGATGGTGGCCCTCATAGCATTGGCAAAGGCAGGCAGGATCGAGGGGTGGCAATCCCTAAACAGGAATTGTACGCTCGAGTCCAGGGCAACGTTTTACAGCCGAGACCAAAGGACAACATGCGTTCTGTCCTTTATATTCATTCCATTCATCAACGTGCTTAATGCATTTCCTAGTGCTTCATCATCTTTTCATGCGCTCAGTTATTAATAATACTCAATCAGTTCTGGTTGCAACAGCGTCTCTGCACACGACACATGGGCGCAAGATGGCATTGAATGGACGTGGCTGCATTTGAATCCCGAGAGGAGATGAACACGAATCGAAATGGATTCTGAGACAGGACGGGCACGAGGTGTCACGGGCTGAGCCCATCGCGGTACAAAACGGGCCGCGCGAGTGAGATTCCAGAGGCTGGCGCAGCGGGTGGCTGTCCGAGAGGCCCGTCGCGAGAAGCTGCCCACCCCCCTCTCCACCGCGCGAAGCACCGACGAAAGGGCGGACGGCCATGAAGTCGACGCTCCTGACTTTGGCGGCCGTGCTGGCGTCGATGGTGGCCGTGGAAGCCCAGATCCCGGTGGGCATCCGACTCTGGAGGATGGGGCCCGGGTTGTTACACTGTTGGCCTCCGTTCGCTTGAGCCCGCGGCTACCGTCGTCGATAGTTGCCTGGCGGTCGTTCGGTCTTGGCAGGCGGGCCTTGTGGGTTCGTGGTGCGGCGGTGTTGGCCTCCAGGATGGGGCGGTGTGTGGGACGCGCCACGCTGGCCACAGCTCGCCCTGAGGCACGCTAGGCGGGCCGTCCGGGAGGGTTGCCTGCTTTTCTCGGTCGATCCTCGCCCCAGAAATATGTTTTGGATAGCCTGGGGCAGAGATCCGCGCCAGTCGGCGGCGTGGAGGCCAGTGACGGGTTTTCTGCGCGCCTCTGTCCGTCACTCCGCAAGAGTCCACGCCGGACGAGTCGTCACCTTGGGGCGACGTCCCGATTGGCAGATCCGCGGCCCCCTTCCCCTCGCGGCCGCCCCATCCCCGCCAGCCTCAACCAGGGGCCACTTCCCCCGCCCCTGCGTCCGCCAGCGCGACCGAGCGACAACCTGAGCCGTGCCAAGCGGCGGCACCCAAGCTGTGAGCACCCCCGCCCACGACCCCAAAGACACCGAAGCAGGCGCAGATCTTTCCAACCGGCGCTTTCCGCGTTCTCATCGTCCGCCATCGAGTTCAGCCCTCGCCCTTTCGCTGCTGTTCCGGGCCGCGTCTGGGCGCCACCACTGGCCGTCGCGAGCAAGTGCGACAGAGCGCGGCGTGCGGCACCCCGCTGCTGACGCAGCGTTGGCCACCCCAGCCGGCCCACGCGGGTGTGACATGGCCGGCCAGCAATCCGGCGACCTGGGATGTGACGGGTCGTCCAGCCTGGTCTGAGACGGACGCCGTTCCAGCGCGGCTTGGCCGCTGCTTGAGTTGTCGTTGGGAATTGAGGGTGAGAAAACGAGTAGGGTTTCGCGGGGGTGACCGTCAGGGTGAGGGGGCGGCAGTCAGTAAGGAATGCCAAGCCTTGAAGAAGGGCAATGACGCCACCACCCTGTGGCATTAGCGCCTTTCAGCCGAGCGAGGGGTTCGCGTTGGAAGCTGTCCGCTGACGAGCGGAATGTACAGCCATCGCTCGGAATGACGAGAGGCTGGAGAGCTGTGCCCGAAGCCTTCAGCATTACGTTATCCCGGTCCCTTTTTAGAGCAGTTTGAGGGTAAGCATGTTGGCTGGTGTGGGAGTTGGGTGGGAAGGGTATGGAGGAAACAGCATAGACGCGCGATATTCACTGCTCCAATGCTCTTAAACACATAGGCAGATGTCGTGTAAATTTCTATACAGCACCTGCATGAGTTGGGAGCTGCCAAACTTATAAGCTCACACGTTCCTAATTGGGAACTTATACCATTATGCGTTCCTAGTAGGAACACGCGATGACGCACCCAACCGTATACCACAAAGAAACTTGTCGTCCTCAGTCTGCCGAGCAAGCTGCAGTGCCGCTTTCCGGACATCACAGGCCCGCGGCAAACGCTGTGTCGATGTCAACATCGTGGAAAAGTTGCCCGAACGGAAGTTGCGGGACCAGATGTGCCTATACACCACGCTGTTCTGGTCGAAACGCTGCCGACACTAGAAGAAAACGACATGGCTTGCGATGCGAACTGCAACGCCATCCGACACCAAAATGATGCCACCAGAGCTACTTCCTGTCATCGCATTCACCGTGGTGGGTCACTTGCCAAAATGGCATCGCTGTCGGAATCGCAGAAACGGTGTCTTCTGCCACTGCGAGTCACACATGCGTTAATATTGCTTGACTCTGACTTGCTCCGCACATGAAAACCGGTGGAAACGGGCATTTTCGCAATGCCAGCTGCGAAACCATTTGACAGTAGTTGATGCCATCGCAGCTGCTCTTGCGGCATCGCAGCCATTGTGACGCGCAACCCCACGTCAAAATGGCACCGCAGTTGGCGTCGCGAAAATACCATTTCCTGCTACAGCAAGAAACATTATTCATAAAAACCAACGTTTTTAGGAAACGTTGTTTCACTATTTGGGAAACATTATTTCACCAGCCAGAGGAGACATTATCATCAGGAAACATTATTTTACCAGCTGCAGGAAATATTATTTCGCCAGTTATAGCAAGCAATATTTTTAGGAAACGTTACTTCACCGGCTAGTGACAGCAACGCATCGCCCGTGACCGCAGCTCCGTTGTCCACCCAGGGACTGGGGACGGCCCCAGAAAGCTTCGGCATCTGGAACGGCTGGGCGATGCCCACGCCGCGGGCGGAGGCGGAGCTGAACCGCCGCCCCTCCTGCATCAACGTGGTGGTCCGCGGCCCGGGCTTCTCGAGCGTCATGGCGGGCGCCGTGGACCCCGACAGGATCGAAGACTGCCTGGACACGTCCAAGCTGGACTTCGCCGGGGCCAACTTTTCGATCAAGGGCCACCTGATGGTGCGGACGGTGGAAGACTTCACGTGCGTGGGTGGCAACACGAGCAAGGTCGTCCGGAGCCACCTGGTGGGGCCGCAGGTGGACGAGGGGCTGCGGGTGGTGGACTGCGTCCTGGCGAAGCGAGAGGACGACGAGGTGGGCGGCGTTGGCGTGATTGTCACGCCATGCTCGTGCAACAATGCAAAGTGCAGTGGCAACTGCGATGCCATTTGATACAAGTTGGTGCCGTCGCAGCTGCTTTTACGCCATCGCAATCACCGTGATGGCGTCACTTCGTGTCAATATGGCGTCGCAGTTGGCACCTCAAGGATGCCCTTTCCATTAGTGATAGGCATAATCATGCCATGATTATACCCATAGGTATGATTATGCCACGATTACGCCAATAGGTATGGTCGTGACATTGGCATGTGTTTTGTCCGGGCTTCAGGCAGGAAATGCCCATGCCACACAATTGGTCTGCGGAAGTGCTGGAAGCCGTGCGCTGGTGGCGCGAATGGTGTCGAAGCGGGACCGAACCATGAAATGCCAATCGATATTCGGAATCATATAGTGGCGGCAGGCTTGTTGTTTGCGCCGTAAACACAGATCGTATTTGCTTTTTTAGGCGGAAAAATAGTTTTTACGTTTTTACGCATAAAAGGCGTAAACAGACGTAAATGCAACGTAAATGCACACCCGTGTACATAAAGACAGTACGTATAGATTTACGGAGTCTGGGGAGTGGTAGCCAGACGCGCTGGAGTGGGCAGAAAATGAACTTTTGATCGACGATGTTGTTGGCCTTGCTGTGAGAGAGGTGGGCGCTATGTTGTGTATGCTCGAGGGGGCGGAGTACTGACCATTATACGCGACTTTCATCGTGTAACCTAGGCGTCCCAACGTGCCCCCAAGACGCAAATATAGCTGTAAAAATAGCTTCTTTTGCATACGCAAGACTGAATCGTAAACGTAAAACATAACAAGCTCGAGTGGTGGGACAGTGCATGGGTTGGATGTGCAATAGAGATGCCAGAAGAAACAACGTCAATGTGCCATGCTTAGCTTGCATGCGCTGTCCCCATCTAAGCATAATCTTCCGTGATGAACTATGTACTGAACTGTATTGTTGATGGGCAGTTGATAAACAGACAGGAATATTCATTTATGTCAGGGTATTTTTCCTACACACATTGTACTATGTTGTGGCCAGTTGAAAAATGCCTTGCGGAAAACTGTTGTGGCCATTTGGGACCAATTCAAACCATGACAATGGGGTACAAAAAATTTCCACAGTATCAACAGGTATTTTGATCTATCTTGGCCAGAAACACATGGACATGGGCATGGACAGTTGGAGCGTAAAGTATAGATTTTTTGCATCTATTAACTGTGAAAAATAGTTTGGTTGTGTTCTAAAGTGCATATCTTTAGCTCATCAGGTGATGCACATGACCAACTGCATATCTTAGTGTTTGCTAATTGCTGATTTAACGGGGGGGTTGGGGGGCCCTTTAGATATCGCACCCAGCGGGAGTGCCGGGGATACGCAAGAAAGCACGGGGGGGGGGGGAGTGCCGGGGATACGCAAGAAAGCACGGGGGCACCCAAGATAGCGCCCTCCACATAATGACGCATTCTTGAATCTCATTGTCAGTGCTATCACCGCAATGTTATCAAGTCCACTCCAAACCAAAAATGCCATGACGTTCCTCCTTCAATCAAACACCTCGTTCCCGAGATTCTCAGTGCGGCGCGACGTCCTATTAGCTGTTATTCGTTTCTTTTGGTTAGCGCTATGATTCTCATCTTACGTAATGTTATGTAATATGTTGTACTGTCTAGGCGCCGGTTCGCTCTGCCAGTCAATCTGGCAGCGCGGGGGGTGCAGCGCAATGCAGCGAGCTGTCGCGTCCTGCCACTTTCTTTTGCCACTGGCTTTGGTTCTTGCCATGAATGGCGCCTTGCGTAATGTGCTAAATTGGCAGGGCGTCGGTACGCTTTGTTGCCGATACACCGTCAAATGTGACAACGCGGGGGAGGAGGGGGGCTATATTGTGTCAGCGACTTGGTGCGGAACGCGGGGGGAGCGGAAGATAGCACGGGGGCATGCCAAATAGCGCCCCCGCATTCTTGACATCAGCCCTGATGCTCAACACGGGGGGTTGCTATCCACCGTGATCAAAGGTGCTTCAATTGCTAAATACAATTCTTGGAGATATTCCACCCTTTCGTGTTGTGGTCTCTTGCGATGGTGGCGCAATGACCTGGAAGCGAGCGGTTCATGTACTTGTAGCCAAATGATGCTGCTGATGTTCGCTGCGCATTTTCTAATATACTCAGATACGATAGCCAGTAACGGCAAGGGCAATGCAGCCTGACTAGACTCGATTTGATCCCACGTGCAGACTGGCCCTAAACTCATGTTGGCATTTGGCTTCCCGGTCACGTTCGAGGGCGACTTGGCGTCAGGCTCTGGTGAGGGCCAAATTCCGGACCCCATGTGCCCAGAGAGCATCGAAGACAGGAACGACACTCGGGTGATGGTGTACGCCACCCTGAGGGCCATCAATGCGGGGGAGATCCTGGTGGATCGCAGCGAATTCGGGTGCCAAGAGTGATTCTCCACGGTCGCCAAGACCTCTGTCTTGCTGGGAAGCGCGCTGGCGATGAAGGCATTGCAGCGCGAAAACACCTTGAGGCATATGGGGATTTGCTAACTGCTATTCGCCCAAAACGCCAAACTGGAAATGATTGGAGAAACTACTATTGTCCTCCGGACTTCCTCTCGCATGGCTCCTTAGATATGACGTTGTCTTCCAGTTGCAGCGTTGTTTTCCGCGGGGTTCAGTGTGCTTTTGTTGAATGCATTGGCCGAAAGTCAGATGTCGGTTGTGCTGCTATGCGAAGGCAGGGCGGCAAATCAACTCAAATCGTTGTGGAGATTGTACAATTTTCAGGACAGTAGGGCTAGGGTTTTGAGACTATTGTGCGACTGCATTGCTCCAGGGTGGAGACGACATGACATTTCGATAACATGACGTGCGTGATCCTAATTGACGTTGGCGGTAATGCCACCTGTATTGGTACACCGCATGCGGAGCAGGATGCACTTCATTTGTTTCCACTTTTCATTTTCTTCTCTGATGCATTAGCTCATGTAATTCGAATTGGAAGAGGCCGGCTTGGAATTTTGCGACCCGTTGAAGGGGGGACGCTCTTCGTGTTCGGTTGAGACGGTGCCTTCCTGTGTTGTATAATGATATACATATGTAATTTAGTGACGGCGGGGACTGTGGGACCTTTGGGATCAGCGATCGTGTGAACCAAGATGGCTGCATTGATTCCTTTCAACATTTGGGTGTGGCTGGCGCTTATGGAACATGAGCAATGAGGACGGGTGTGCAGGGTGGGATGTGGAGCTGACGAGGGCGGGCATGGCCGAGGGGTGGCGACCTCTGACTGGGGCCTGTAGGCTCGAGTACACGGCAACGTCTTACAGCGGAGCGAAGGGACAACATATGCTCTTTCCCTTGCACAGAATCTGTTCACCAATGTTCTTAATGAATTCCTAATGTCTCATCCCCTCTGGCACCGATGACCGCCCTCTGAGTGCAATGTCACACTTTCCCTCACACACCACTGTTGTGCATGTCCCCATATTCGATTTTGGGTCGATTGACGGCTGTGATTCTCATGTTGTGCAAGCCGCATGAACTACGGGCAACCATTAAAAGCTAGTGCAGCAACCAAATGTTTAAGTAAATGCAATTAAATCCACATTCCATTCAAAATTGGGTGAATGGAATTCTCGTAATCTAGAGCCTTTATGACAATTGGGGGTCACAATTTGGCTTAGTGATCCTTATGAAATTCACGCCCATTCAAATGATTTCCAGTGGTGTTTTTTGAGTCTTCATGTTGTTGTTAAATACCTGCAATCTCACACTGTTGATTCGTCACTCGTTCAAATGGGATCAAGCTGGCTACGTCCAAACTGTTTTTGGGACGTGTGTCCGTCAATTCACGGTAAAGGTCCGCCAGACAAGTATGGCACACACTGGAAACAAATGTGCATTTTCAATCGCTCGACTCCATGATCAGATCTTTTTAATGCTGTGGAACAATGCAGCAGTAACGCCAATAAGCACCACCAAGCCGAGCTACCTGGCAGGGAAGATGATGGTGTCATTTTTCATCTGGAGTCTGTCGAATGTCTGAATTTCTTCGTTAAGTTAGTGAACATTGACTGAACATTGAAACTAATACCATGCCAATAATCACTACAACAATGCCCCAGTATCAAAGTTTGTGAGTGTCGATGTGCACTCAAAAGCGTATGGTTGATACACAGACCTTGATGCAGCTCAGCTTAGTTCCGGCAGCATCGGTGATGCTCCCAACGGTATTGCACAGAAATGGTACTAAAATTAGCGAGTCAGAATGCAATAAAGAACTGTCACAGTCTCAAACAGGTGTTTTTGAACTCAAATTGCACTGCGCAGATTAGAGAAGCGCTGCTGCATTCTGAGCTCATTTGTTCCACTGCTGTCTGGCGCTCAAGCCACCCTCGATCGGCGGAACCTCTGCAACGCTGACAGGTCGGGAATAAAATTGGGTCCGCGCATCCAGCACGACAACCCCAAACGGGGCTGCGCCGAGTTCCTGCGGCCATCGAAAAGATCTCGAAGAACCACAGAATTCAAAAGTCAGAAGAAGAAGAAGACTTCCTGCATATAATGCAATGGCAAAGATGTGCGTGTCGCCGTCCGTGCTATGCCCCATGCACATGACCCATTAGAACGTGTCATGGCCACGCCCAGGGCCGTCCATGTGCCACCCAGATTCAATAATCACAGAAGAAACAGAAAGACCTTAAAGATCGTGAGCGTTTTTCATTCTTTCTTGATCCTTGAAGCTTGGTCATTCTCTCCAGCTTCGCCATCAATTCGCAGTGGCCACCTCCGGGCCGCCGTACACCGGCGTGTGCAGCCCCTCCATCCGAGCCTTGACCTGCAGCGCCAGGAACTGAGAATAGAACCTGCACTGCATGAAACTCCCGCCAAATATCCACAGCCCGCGCTGGGCCGTGGGCTTGTACATGTTGCGCAGCTCGCCCTCCCAGGGGCCCGGGTCCCCGGTGGTGTTGGACCCCAGGCCCCAGCACCGGCCCACCTTCCCAGCAACTTCCGGTGATGTCATCTTCCCCAGGGAGTCGCTGAGGCTGGCCCAGCCCGTGGCGTAGACGATGACGTCAGCGGGGAGGACGGTGCCGTCGGTCAGCTTCACGGAAGCTTCGCCGATGCTGTCCACGCCAACGCTGCTCTTCAGGCCGATGTCGCCGCTGCTGATCAGATCCGAGGCGCCTTTTCGTGGGGAACAGGGTTGCGGTAGATCAGCGAACATTCGCTAATTCACTGACGAACAATTAATTACTAATTCATTATTCAGTCAAATGAATTTTAAGGTTACAGACTCATTCATTAACTGGCAAATTAATTGGCAACGCATTATGGATAGTTTTCCGCTCAGGCAACTTTGGGAATGCATGCATGCACGTATTTGCTTCCTTCCATCGGGGTATACCTCCATCGGCAAACAGCCAATGAGCAAACCATCCAACTGACTGACTTCGCCGGCAAGCAAGGGAGCCACAGGGACGTATGTTTGACTTGGCGGATGGACGGCCATCATTTAGCCCGGAGAGAAATTTCCCGAGGAGTGCGGGGTGAGGGAGCAAAGTGATGACACAAGTCTTGATGTAGGTCTCTATTTCCAAGGGCCGAGGATTAAATACAATCTGAATCGAAACGGCGAATGGAAACTCCTTGAGCCGCAGCGGCAAAGCAAAAAGAGTCGCCATTGTCCAAGCTCCGCAGAGATACAACCAGACAGATGTGCCACAGATGTAGTAAATGCGCAGATGTTTTCACGATAGCATCTCCTGCAGATGTACCATAGGTTATTGTGCTTCGAGATAAAGTCATCCAGAGACGCTGCTGTGGTGCAGAATACGTATTCTATGTACGCTAATGATATCCACAGATAGCGACAATCAGACGGAGTGCATAGATGTTGCAAGGCCGCAGACGTTGAGACAGTGTGTGCAGCAGAGGAGCTGTTGCGATGTCGCAGACGCCAATGAGCTCACAATTGCTTACAATCATTGTCGGGAGCAGCCGTTCCGTTGGGACACAAACTGGTACCGTCCCAAGCCGGTATCGTTTTCGGGAAGGGTCGGGCGCCGGTCGTGAACAACTATGATTATTCTTTATCCAGTTTCCATTGATTTCATATTGCCATTTACTGGTGATTAGGAAATCGCCAAACTGCCGGAAACAGAGCATGAATGGTACGCCACTGATACAAGGCTTTCGGAAATTCGGCACTGCTCAGAGAAATTGCCACCTGAAACACAGGCAGAGAACACTATTTTCGCCATTCCAACTGCTATGCCATTGTGACACTAAATTGGGCCATCACAGTGATTTTGCAATGGCGTAAAGTAGATGCGACGGCATCAATTGGTGGGAAATGGCATGGCAGCTGGCATCGCAAAGATGGTGTTTTATGCTGATGATCTTCATAATAATCAATAATTACTATTTTAAAAACCCATTTCATTGGGGGGGGGGGGGCTTTTCGGCGAGCAATTTGGAAGCGACTCACCTAACCCTGTTTTGAGAAAAAAATACTGCAAAGCTCAGTAATTTACATCAACCATAAGCATCATTTTTGCTACCAAGGCATTACCTGTGTCGATGTAGAACCCCGCCCCCCGCCGCAGCCACTTCATGAACAGCCCCGACCCGTCCTCGCCAAAGTCCAGCAGGAACCCCACGTCCGTGAGGCGCTTGTAGAATGGGGCGTCCCGCTTGGCCATCGCCGTGTACGTGGGCACGTCCAAGACGGCGTGCACTCTGTAAGGGATGGAGGCGAATATCATGTCCGCCTTGTCTGTGGTCATGCCCGACGCCAGGGCCTCCTCGGAGTACAGCGGCTTGAGGTACATGTCCTGTGGGAGGCAGGAGGCTGCGTTGCGCTGGCTTGCATGCGTCGCCTAGGCATTTGTGTAGATTTTGATTTGTGTAATTGTCTTTTCTCTTCAGATTAATTTTATTTTCAGATTTGCTTCATCTAATATTCTAACGTTAGCCACAGATATGTGACCACGGATGCCCCCATGCGAATGGCAATGTTTTTCCAGAGGTGCTATAGATTTCAGGAAATCTTTTGCAACTGCCTTTAATACATCATTATGCTCTAACCTAAATAGACTGGTTGATTAAATATGGCGAAGCGCACGAGGACAGAAACAGGATATTCCGCCATTTTACAATCCCATTATTGCTACTGTTGTTTAGTGATGGCACTGGTGCTCGTCACACTGCAAATGCTTTAGGGAGATTTGGTACCAATGAGTACTGTACATTGCTTTTGTTATGCAGCTTTCCTCTCTAAGGGTGTTGTGGTGTACCACAAAAATGTACTGCACAGATGTATTGCGCATATATAGTACACAGCAATGAAAAAATGTACTGCACAGATGTATTGCGCATATATAGTACACAGCAATGATGAACAGATATACTGAAAAGACGCCCACCTGCCAGACGGCGGACCTTGTGACGTGCGTGGACGTTCGCTGTATCATCGTGGGCAGGGCGCCGCGCTCCCACAAGTCGTGGCAGATGTCGTGGGCAGAGTTGTTGGAGCCGATGACGACACACCTATGAGATGTGCGTGAGATAGTCACGGGATGCAGATAAAGCAGCTATAGATGGCAGAAAGGGGAACTGTAGGGTGTACAAGGAGCAGCTGCGCGACGCGGCTGTATCTCCATTGGAGCTGCGCAATTTTGCTTTTTCGTTTTGCGTTTTGAGGATTTGGGACAAGTGAAAGTTTCAGTTCGTTTCTTATGTAATCGTAATCACGGCGATGGAGCCACTTCGTGACAAAATAGCATCGTAGTTGGCATCGCAGAAACGGCATTTTCTGCCAATATTATCTGCATATTCATGTGCCAGGGGATCTCCCATGCCCAAACTTTGGTCCTTTGCCCTCCCGCCCAACATCTATTGCATCGGGAGAAAAGCACCATACTATGAAAGTTGGGTAGTTGATACTATTATCCAGTACTCATACAGCACACAGGGCACGTCTAGCGTTACTCTGACTCTATCTTTAGTATCGTAACGCCATATTTGTCAGCAGTGCTACATGCATGAACCTTAGTTGCCAGCATTGTGGGAGACCACAAATGCATCACAGTTGGCATCCCGAAATACCGTATTCCACTAATGTGACGTCTTTGGGTATGCACACGCGTCTGCTTCCACGTCCTAGGCATGAGGCAAACGCAAACGCTCAGCTGCCCACTGATACTCCATAATTTATGCCACTCAATTGGCATGGCGTCACCGGAGCTATCGCGCAATATTTTATCTGCATCTTTGTACCGCTAATAGAAAACGCCAATTTCGCGATGCCAGCTGCGATGCCATTTTCACACTAAGTGGCGCTACCACAGTGATTGCGACAGCGCAACAGCAGCTACGGCGGCATCAGTTAGTGTCAAGTGGCGTCGCAGACGGCATCGCAAAAATGCCATTCTCTGCCGTTGTAGCGGCACTTGTGGCGACATTGGAGCAGCGAGCAACTATCAAATCGCTTCACGAGCTCATTTCGCTGCCGCCCACCTGAGTCCCTCCCACTCCTCGTCCCCCTTGTAGTTGCCTGAATGTACTTGGGGGCCCTTGAAGGACGCCGCCCCGGGAAAGTCCGGCACGAATGGCGCCCCGTGCACACCCGTGGCCAGCACCAGCTGCCGCGGCCGCAGCGTCACCTCCGCCCCGCCCTTGTCCACCGTCACCCTCCAAACCCCTTCGCCTTCGTCATATGCTGCGCCCGTGCAGGCCGACCCTCCCCAGTAGTTGAGCTCCATCACCTGTGCAATGCATGGCTTAGGTGCGTTCCTCGTAGTTTCGAATCTCTTTTGCGGCGCATGGCTTACGTACAGTCCTCGTGGTTTTGAACTCTTAAAATATCTTCGCATTTGATTTAAAATATTTAACAATGCGCTCCTTTTGGGGTAGTTAGTGTAGGAAACTGTGCCTGTGCCAGTGCTCAGATGCGATGCACGAGTTGACGCACCATCAAACGGGTGGATGCGCAGGTTGCACGATATCCAGCGTCTTTCAGTGTTTTCCATTTTCCTTTTATATTTTACGGTGCACCCGACTTACTGGTGGTGGTGGCAGGGCGCGGGGGGGGGGCAATGCCCCCTGCGTACGTCAGCGGAGGTTGGTGCCTCCTTCGGCACATCGATTCGCTTCGACATGGGTATGAACATCACCCATTCAGCGTGCCTCTTGTTTTCTGGGGAATTTATCCACTGGGCCGAATCAGAATCATATTTAGTACATTGCCGCATTCCTCCACCCAATTTTCCAGAAAATGAATTCGTTCCTTCGTTCATTCAAACAGGTGATTAACTAAAGTATTGTTGGGATTGCACATGTTGGATCAAACTAACACAGAGTGCGTCGCTGTTAGACCAAATGCTGCGAAATATAGCGCGGTATGTGAATTGCATCATGTAGTTGCATTGAATTGAATATGCAATGAAACTATCTGCAGTCTTGTATCACTCCAATTCGCAATTCATTGCCATTGGCACGCTTCATCCTGCCGAGCTGTCGACTTCCTTCCGCATGTGCCACACCTTGACGTACATCTCCAACCAGTCAGCCAGCTTGTCCTTGGGGAAGTAGGTGGGCCAGTGGGAGGGGAACGGAATGTAGGGCAGGTGGTTCATCCACACGGGATCGTGCGTGGCAAGTGAGGCGTAGCGGTGCCGCCAGGAATCTCCGGGCCGGGCCCTCCTCTCGAGTATGATGGCCGGCACGCCCAGGCGGGCCAGCCTCGCCCCAATCATGATGCCCGCCTGGCCGCCTCCCACAATCACCACCTGTGGCCATCCTCCCAGTTCATAAATGGGCTCAACAAATAAAAACATGCGCAAATATATTAAAATTGGAGAGTTAAACAGAATATTCACAGGCGCCCTTTTGGTCCAAATTCAGGACAAGTTGCTTGCGCCTCAGACGGACAGAGTCTGTCCGTAGTTGGATAGTTTTGGTTCTAATTCTCTATGTCCATCTTTTTTCAATTCAATTTCACTTAATGGCGGACATTGCCCTGTTTTGTCGGGAGGCCGTACTGCATAACGTTTTTTTTTCCAATTTGCCTTGGAATTTGGGCCGTGGCGCCGGCTGTGACCACGAGGATATGCTCCGAAGTTCTTTCAATGCGCCGCCATCGACGACCTCTTCGGGGAAGCTGGGACTCAGTTAATTCAGAGTTTCATCGGTGCAATACTTGGGCTCCCTGAATAAAGCGTGCATCCTGCTCTTCCTTGATATATTGTGGATCTGACGGCCACTTCCTCCCTTGACATGTACTTCATGTAGATGCAAAAATCTTCCTCGATTTCGCCAATCGCCACAAAGATGCCACCTGCGGACGGCGTCTTTGGGGGGTGTTTGGTGTAGTCGAGAAGGATCTTTGCATGCAGGGACGTCTCTGCACCTCAGCCGCGATGCTGTTTTAGCATGGAAGGCAGAGTAGGCGTCCGACTGGTCGGACAGATGCACAGTACTGTGCATCGATCCTGGCACGTCTGGCGGGATACCCAAACCGCCTGGGCGGTGATAAGGCCGAGGGCAGTCCAATCCCTCAAGAGGCAGTGCCTGTCAGGCACTGTTCGATGGACACAAGTTTGCTTCGGGAATATCCCGATGTACACGCATTCATTGCCCAACATCGGCAGCTGGGTGACAGGGCCATGTCCAGTATGTAATCAACGGTATGTTATCGGTGGTGTGGGCCAAGTACGTAACCAACGGATTCAGACAAGTCTGCCACCAAAGGGATGGACAAGTATGTAAAATCAACCGCGCAATCAACGGTATGGGCCCAGTATGTACCCAATGGAACCGGGCGCGCTGGTGGTCAACGTAGTCAATCAGACACCGGCCAAGACGCCGCCCGATCGCGGGTGGCATAGCATCACCTGCGGCTGGACGCTGACGCCGAGCCGCGCCACCTCCTGCTCGCGCCTGCGGGCCCAGCTCCGTCTCCCCTTCTCCGCGCCGTGCACCGCGCCGGGCTCCCGCCTGGGCCCCTCCGCCGTCTCGAACCCCTTCAGCTCCTCCATCGCCGTCATCATCGTCCAGCACCTGCCCCCCCTCAACCTCAGGTACCCCCTGCACCTCGCGGTCGCGGTCTCGAACCTTATGAACCCCTCGAGGCAGGCCCCATCGGTGGCGTCGCCATCCGTCTGCCAGCTCTTGGGCCTGGCCTCGCCGATCGTGGCCGTCAGCATGGCGGAGATCGCATCCTTGCCCTCAAGGGTGATGACGTTCCAGGTGATGGCCACGAGGTCGCGCCAGTAGCACTCGGAGTCGAAGAGCGCCAGCGCGGCGGGCACGTCGCGCCGGTCCAGCGCGTCGCCGAAGGAGGACAGCCAGGAGTTGAGGCGCGAGGTGGGGGTGGCGTCGGAGGCCGGGGTGGGCCCCGAAGGGGGGGTGTCTGGAACGCGGGATGCAGTCATTTATTTGAAAGGAATGAAAACACAACATACGTGGCATGTTTTGTTGTCGGAGCGCCGTTGGCATCGGTGGATCTCGCTCTACAGTTCCCTGTGAACGCCAGAGTGACGCCAAAAAGGAGGGCGACACACACGGTAGGCGAATAGTGGAGAGAACTGTTTGTTTGATAAAACGCTGTCGGCGCCGTCAGATCTAATTCTAGAGTTTCTGCGGGTGTTGCGGCTGGGCCGTGCGCGACGCGGACACGTTCGCTTTGCTGTGGAGAGGTGACACAGACGTCGGGAGACCGCGCTTCTGCAGTTTGGAATTTTGGGGTCACCGGGGTGAGGAGATCTTTCTCTGCGGAGAAGGATGGCCAGAATGCGCCTGACCGTGGCGTGCGCGGTGCCGGACAGCTTCGCCCACCTGGCATGGAGGCGAGGGTAAAGGATCACACAGACGGTCGCGGCGCCGTCAGATATCGGACAGCCGCCGCGTATAGTCTCGAGGCAAAGAGGCGCGGCGAGAGTCCTCAGGCACGCATGGGTCCACTGCCCGCAACTTGACCCGCTGATTCCTAGATTGCGGACCGTCAACATCACGGTCACCACCCGGATCGACGCTTCGGCCGCCACGCTATGTGCACCTTGCGAGGCTACCGGGCATTCCAACGGGAAATTTTCGCACGGCATCCCGCCGAAAACCGTCTTTGTGGTGACGGCGATCCTGACGTGTGCCGAGACGGGAACGTCCTTTCCGCCCGTTCAAGATCACCCGTATGCCCCGCGGCTTGGGAGCAGCCGGACAACAGCGACATCTCCGACACCCAACGACGCGCTCCGCAACGTGCCTGCGCTGCCGTTCTCCGCGGTCGCCATGTTGCACCGAGAGGCAGCCGCGCTCCCAGTGGTTCGATCCTGATGGACTTGGGAATATCGCGCAGCCAGCGAGGCACAAACCCGTGGGCGGTGGGTGGCAACGGGGTGTGATAGCACTCAAGTTGCCAGACCGCCTCGACAGTTGCCCCGCAACGAGAAGGGATGTGTGACGAAGTCCCTGGCTCGTGGCAACCCCGCAGCCATCAAATGCTGGCGAAGCATGCCTGTGTGTGTGTGTGTGAGGAACAAAAGGTCCATGTTGCTGACAGGACTGGCGGTGGTATGCGCCGACGCCAAACACGCTGAACCGCAGTGCGAGGGTCGGGCTGGATCCACGAGGGGCCAGCACATGGGGCCAGCACATGCGGGCGATGGTCTCCGACGCGCAGACCGACGTAGCCAGCGGACGCTTGCGCGTGTCAGTACATATTTCCTGGGTGCAGCCAGCTTGGATGCAATTTGCGCATCCCGACGGGATTCCCGCACGGGTCAAGGCAGCCAATTTGGATGCGCACAGGGCCTCCACCTCTGTCCCGCTCTGACGGGTGGCGCTCTCAGCGCACATATTTCCTGACGCCGCTGCTTGGACTGCTTCTCACCTTCCAGACTACCGGGTCGCAAGTGGCAGCACACAGAGCACGACAGCCTGAAATAATCTAACGCCCACAGACATTTGCTGAAACCTGCAGGTTGCTGCCAGCTGGCGGCAAGGATACTGATCTGGTGGCTGTATTGACGAAAAGAAGGTTGATTCAAGACATGTTATTTACAACAGTTGCACTGCATGGGTAGCAGTTTCGGATACGCTGCACAGCGATGGGCCGAAATGGAGCAAGGCTTTCTAGGTGCATTCGAGTAGAGGGGAGGCTTTTGGCAGCTCACCACCGCGAGCGCCAGCATAGGACCGGTGCCATGATTCAAAATGTCCACAGTTCTGTGCACGGGCCGCAGCGAGAGGCTCGACCAGCGTTGTTTGTTTTCGCCCGATTGATGATTTGGGCCCGTCTTTCGCACAGAGCACCGGATAGACAAGCCAGAAGCTTCCTGAGGGCCTCAAGGGCGGACACTCGGTCTGGCCAAATGGCTTGAACTTCCCTTGACCGTTAAATGCACCAGCAACAAATCCACCATATTGGCTATAATTTGGGCACAAGGGATTTGTCTTAGAAACCTTTCTCCCAAGTTAAGAAGTCGGAATTGAGTCTTGCTGGATGTCTACGAACCGTGCGGCTCTACGTGGCTTGCAGACAACTCCAACACTGGGAATCTGTGCTGTGCGCCATTGGCAAACCACACGCGCCGTTGCAAACAATGGCATTGCAAGCTTGCACTGCACCCAGTGCGGCATCGCTGCCGTGCACCATATAGTGCCCAATGCACACGGCAGCACAGTGGTCAGACGCGGACCCTACATTTTCTGACAAAAGCAGACAACTACGAACTACCTGAGCGACACGTACACAGCACCGCAGCCCTGAGAAAAATCCCATCTCTTGCGACGTCACAGAGGGGGCATCGCATACCCCTTGCGACGTCGCAGGGAGGGGATGGAAGTACGGTGGGGCGTCAGCAGCGCAGGCTGGATTTATTGCAAGGGGGTATGCGGGGGTCGTCGAGGCCGTCGGCAGCGCTCAGGTTTGTTATGTACGTCTATGGCACCATTTTTGCGTTCGTTTAGGTTTATATGCATAAAAACGCGTGAATAGAGAAGCGGCTGTAGCTTCGGCCATATATATATTGAAGGCATTTTTATGGCTCGCCGACACACCCAGGTTACATGATGATGATCCAAACAATGATCAGTCCTCCATCCCTTTGAGCGCCGTCAGCATAACGCCCACGTCGCCCTCGTCAAGAGCCGAGACGCCGTCGAGCAAAAGGTCGTTTTATGCACACGCCAGCGCGTCTAGCCGCCACTCGCCGCACTCCCTCAGCCTGCATGCACTATCTTTAAGTACAAAGGGTCCAGTTTTATGCATTTTTACACATCATCATGCGTAAAACGTAAAAATTATCTTTACACGATATAGCCAGATGCATGAGTTCTACACTGTAAATAATGAGCCTGGCGGTGCTTCGAAACATTGGTATTCCAGGAAAGCTTCTGAGGACCTTGTATGTAATGCAAAATGTATGTCAGTGATAATGTGAGTTTTGATCGCTTCCCACATATGTGCCGCCATGAACTTTTTACAGACTTGTGTCCTTGCCCTTGCTATTCTTGTAATTACATATATTACAAATAGCAAAACGGAGAGTACATATGTCTGAGCTCTTCTGAATGATTCATATGTGCGTCAAAATTTGCTGCAAGGGTCTGAATTCTACCCACGTACCTGTCAATTGGGGATGAGGAACTTGTAGTTGGGGTATTTTCTAGCAGTTTTAGTAGAACACAATCGATTCTCTCATTAAACCTAATACTGTAAACAAAGCCACGGCAAACATCCTTGTTGTGAATTGGATCA